CAAAGTTTCATCAAGATATCTCAAGTTTTACTCAAGTTACAGCTTGCACAGAAGGACGGACACACAGACAGTCACCCTGAGTTCAACTTTTCTCGTCATACTGATCATTTGTATATATATATATATAACCTTATATCTATCTCGTTTCGATTCAGGTGATACATACAACCGTTCCGTGAACAAAAGTGTTATACTGTGTAGCCACAGATTGCAAAATTATAATAAGAGGAGTTTCGGCGAATTGCTCACATTTGCTTATTTTCATATGACATCGAACCATTTCCTCATAATTATTAGCACATAAATGAAGCTCTCTACGAATGTATTAAGTAATTTTTAAAATTTAGATTTTTTACTAAAAAAATATAAAAAGTGTAAAACGTGAATGTGTTTAAATGTTTACAGTTGAATTTGAAGTGAAAAATGTGCGTAAAGAGTGTTAAACATAGTGAAATAGCTTATTGAAATGTGGGTTTTTTAGAATTTTCGAACTTGAAAGTCGAATATTTTGTAAACTAAGTATTTTCTGTACCCATAAACCTTCAAGTCGCGGCGCCAAAGAAATCGGAATTTTGTCAATGTGACTTTTGTAATTAAAAGCAGCACTTTCACCCAAGACAGCACGACGTATTCGTGACAACTGCAGTATGTGATCGTCTTACTAATCGAACATCATTTGCATTACGTTGGTCGACCTACAGGGTTTGTCCGGAAAGCAAAGGACTGATTTTCATCCGTCGAGCCTGTACTTAGGAGCGTGCGCGGACCGACTTGATTCGGTAGAGGACGTTCCTAGCTAACGCTCGTTCGTTAGCTTATCAATTGTCTCCGAGCACTTGGAGAGTCAGGGCAAACATTTTCGAGGAACGTGTTTCTGTGAGTGGTGCAAGCCGAAAATGAAGGGTTCGTTATAGTAAGGACACACGATTAAATTCTGTGTGAAACTCGGTAATATGATCAAGCAGGCTTACCCAGATTTTGCTTTATCAAGGAGTGATGTGTTTTGGTGGCATCAGGCCGGGAGGAGGAAAATTGCATCAATTACAAAAGAATAAAACACCTGTATGCACACAACATGTCTTTTGAAATAAAGAAAGACACTAGCATATATGTATTTCACTTCAACTGTTCAAAACTAACCGTTGTTTAAATAATTTTATTGAAATAAATCCTGTAAAAGATATCAAATACCGACGACTCGCTAAAAACTGAGAAAAGTATACGCGCATATATTTGTAGTATAGTACACATTTGAACATATATACATATTTGCTACAAAAAATTTGATAAAAGAAGAACCGTTCGACCGTGTGCAAACTTCATATCAACCACCTACCAAATAGTTCGAACAAAACCTAAGGTTTTGGTTTGGATAGGTGAGCCCGTTCTTAAGTTATAAAATAACAACGAAAGGGGGCATTAGTTTGTATTATATATAATATGTATAAGTATATAGAATATATATATAAAACATACATATATGTATATATAACTCAAGAACGGCTTAACCGATTTGGTTAAAAATTAGTGAGGATTTCTTTCGCTATTTGGCATCAATTGGAGATTCCAAGTGTAAAGTCAAAACAAATTAAGCAAAAAACAGCATACTAGCAAGGTACAGAAATTTTTGTTTACATATACTATATATAGGGTTTATACCGATAGTTGTTACTAAACAATAAAAATTTGAATCCTTATTTGAGATGAGTGCACAAATATTTATACGGTAATAATCCCATCTTCTATAGAGTGTATAGCTGCTGGCGTATGCCGATGATATTGATATCATTGGCCTCAACACCCAGCGCCGTTAGTTCTGCTTTCTCCAGACTGGACAAGGAAGCAACACAAATGGGTCTGGCAGTGAACGAGGGCAAGACGAAATATTTCCTGTCATCA